GTGCGGCGGATCGATTACGCATTCCGTTACTACTGCCCGTCTCCCAAAGTCAGGACTTACACAATTGACCTTGTCTGCTGCATGGGTTGATGGGGCAACTGGAGTGACTTTTCAAGCCGTGATGATATCGAACAACGTTGGCTGTTGTACGAGTTACTCTTGAAGATATAGATATCCTCGCTTGACAGCTTGGGGATACGCTTTGAGAACTTGTACAATTTCAGCGCCTTATTGCTTGTAGAATATTCACATCAGCGAGACTCCTATCTCCAAATTCGAAGCTTTTGGACCAGACAGACATCGTAGAACGATAGAAAGCATTATTGTCTCTAGATGCACTGAGACTGCTAGCCGTTGCCATCTTTTGTAAGCGTTTCATAAGGTAGTGGTGGTAACTGGCGGTGAACGAAATTTCCAGCTTGAACTTCAACCTTCGCAGTAATCAAGCGAGGGCTATGTCCCTGTAGCCTGAACTACGTTGTCGTTTTGAAGTGCCAAGCATCACAATAAGTAGATGGGCAGAAATCCTTCTCGGTCACTTGTTATTCAATTGCATGAGCGAATTTTCGCTCCTGACCACTGTAAATACTGGTAGCCGTGACAATCTGGCCTCAAAACAGTTACTCAATGTAAAAAATTCCTTACATGTTCAAAATGCAGCACAATTACAGCAAAACCTTCGTAGGTTTCTGTTCTGGCTGGGGTTGCATTGGCGGATGGCCGCCTTTTGAGATTCAGGCAGCGACCTTCTTGTTGTTGTCATAGAGGATCCGACTCTAACCTCCTTTCACCAGAAAGTCCTTAAGTTTGAAAGAGTTTTCGAAGTGGAAGCAGGGGACTGGCTGCTTTAAACAAGCGTGTGACAAAATGCGTGTGACGTCAGTGCCGGAGTCATGGAGCAAGCAATTTCCTGTAATAGTGTTTGTGAGAGTGCCTGACGACGTTGCTCTGATCTCACTCGACAGACTCCGACGATTCCTTGCCCGTGGCCTCTGACTTCGTCTTTATTTCGTTGATACGTCTGCAATCATCAAGAGGAACTGGTCGTCCATCGCTAGGATCGTCGTCGAGCGCCGTATCTCTAGAAAGAATGCGAGGGAATAATTGGCTAAAGATCGCAAGGCTGCCGAGTTCCTCTTCGAATGCAGCGTTGATTGGAAGCAGCGGAACGTGTACTCGAGCTGTGGCCCCATTCGTAGAAAACAAATGCTCGAAGTTGATCATCCGCAATTGCGACTTGGTTTACAAAAGATGCCCTGGGGGACCTGTTCAAATCCTACTGCAGTAACCTGAAATTCGTTGAAATGTCGTGACGACACGAACTCGACAAAGCGTAGTGGGAGAAATGAGGTTACATTAAAGGCACAGTTCACGATAATTTTGGGTAATCCAGATTATGATGAA